CTTATTAAATTTAGGTCACCTTTGGGGAATATACGTTCTTTTATTTATACATCCACAGGACATTGCATGAGAGTTATATATTACGCGTGTTGTCATTGATATGTGACCTTTAATGGTATTTTTCCTTATTAGGGCAAAGGACTCTTCGATTATAGTGTAAGGGTCACCAACTAAGAACAATTGTTCTCTAAGGTTTAGGTGGATAATCCCATACTATTACTAGTTGATATAAAGTAATAATTCTCCCATACAAACAATAAACTGACGTTCTTACCGAAAATATATAAGAATGAAGGCAACACTACATTACAAACTCGAATAAAATTTATTAATCTTTATGAACCATTAGATTATCAACAATGCCAAATTGACCTAACACCACGATACCCGATTTGAATCTGAACTCCATAAATATTTACAATATTAAATTACAAAAACTAGAAATACATCCAAGACTCAATCTGAATTTCATTAACTAACTCATTTATGATTTAACTATGAAATGTTTATTTTTATAAACAGTGGTAAAATTTTCGTTTCCAAGAAAATGAAAGTGAAAATAGAAGAAAAGATGTTAAGACTCTGAGTATTAGGATTTTTGTTTTGATGTTGAAGAAAAACAAATCTGGATAAATTCTTTTTATTGAACTTATAAAGAAAAACAGAGAAGCTTCCAGTTTATATACTGGTCCAGTTCATCAGCTTTACAAACGTCAACTAACTAACTAACTAACAACAGATTGTAACTAATTAAATAACAAACATCAACTTGACTAACAAAATATCAACTAACTATTAACTAACTAACTAACTAATAACAGAGTATCAATTAACTATTAACAGAATGCTCCAAGACTCCCCCGCAAGCTGGAGAATGTATGCTTAACATGCCCAGCTTGGAAATCATTGCATGAAAAGGAGCAACAACAAGTGGCTTTGTAAAAACGTCAGCTAGCTGATTAGTTGAGGAACAAGGCATGAGATGAAGGAGTCCGTTGTGCACTTTCTCACGAACCAGATGGCAATCTATTTCTATATGTTTTGTGCATTCATGAAATGTTGGGTTGGCAGCGATCTGGAGAGCTAATTTATTGTCACAAAAAAGCAAGGCAAGTTGAGGGTGAGCAATATGGAGATCTTGAAGAAGATAACGCAGCCACTGTAACTTACAAGTTGTGGAAGCAAGAGCACGATACTCAGCTTCTGAAGAAGAAAGTGATACAGTAGGCTGCTTTTAGCTTTCCAGCTGATCAAGGACGCTCCAAGAAAGACACAAAAACCAGTTACCGATCGCCTTGTGTCAATACATCCTGCCCAATCAGAATCGTTAAAGGCCTGAAAAGCTGAAGAGGATCCAGCAGGAAAAAAAAGACCATAAGCTGGACAGCCTTTGACGTAGCGAAGAACGCGATGGGCTGCCTGAAGATGCTGAGAGGTAGGCTTGTCTAAGTATTGGCTCAACTGTTGGACAGCAAAAGAAATGTCAGGACGAGTGGAAGTAAGGTAAAGTAAACGGCCAATCAGTCAACAATAAGAAGAAGCATCAGGCAAGATGTCACCATGCAATTGACTAAGCTTAGAAGAGCAATCCATTGGAGATTTGGCAGGTTTAGAATCCAAAAACCCTGCATCAGATAAAATGTCAATAGCATATTTTCGTTGACATAATGCGATACCAGCAGATGTACGAGCAACTTCTAAGCCAAGGAAAAATTTTAAATCGCCCAAGTCCTTGATCTTGAAAGCATTATCTAAATACTGCTTTACATGATCAATTTCACCAAGATTATTGCCTGCCAAAATAATTTCGTCAACATAGATCAGCAAGGCAGTGATGGAACATTCATGATGCTTGATGAAAAGAGAATAATCAGAGGAGGACTGAACATATCCCAAAGCAAGCAAGGCAGCGGTGAGTTTTGAGAACCATTGACGGCTAGCCTGTTTAAGCCCGTAAAGGGACTTTTGAAGCTTGCAAACCTTATGAGAATCAGAAGTATGGAAGCCAGGTGGTAATACCATGTAAACTTCTTAATGGAGGTCACCATGAAGAAAGGCATTGTTGACGTCAAGCTATTTAAGGTGCCACTGATGTATGGCTGCTAATGTGAGTAATAATCTGACAGTGGTGAGTTTAGCAACAGGAGAGAAAGTATCGAAGTAATGGATACCTTCAGTTTGTGTGTATCCTTTGGCGACTAAACGCGTCTTATAGCGCTCAATACTACCATCTGCCTTGTGTTTAACTCGATACACCCACTTACAGCCAATGGGAGCTTTGCCAGCAGGAAGATCAACCAAAACCTAGGTTTTATTTTGCTCAAGTGCATTGATTTTAGTTTGCATTGCCTCTCTCCAGCATTGAAATTTTACTGCTTGGTGATAGAATTTTGGTTCAAAGGAAGCAGAAACAGCAAGTGTAAAATGTAGATGAGAAGGAGATAACTTTGAATAAGAGAGAACATATGACAAAGGATGAGGAGTACCTGAGTGGCGATCATTAGTTGCAGCTGTAGTGGTAGAATGGCAATGATAATCAGCCAAGTAAGAAGGAGGTTTAGACACTCTTGTAGATTGACGTGGTACAGGTGGTATAAAAGATTGATTATCTAACGGTAAAGAAGAAGTTGGTGATGGTGTAATAGGAGAAAAATCAAAGGTTGGTTAGGAAGATTCACGAACAAGAGGAACATGATCATGTTTTAAAGATGCAAAAGGGAAAATATGTTCATGGAAAACAACATTACGTGAAACAAATATTTCCCTAGAACTGAAGTCTAAGAGAACAAAACCCTTTGTACCAGATTTAAATCCAAGGAAGACACACTTTCTGGCACGGGATCAAATTTAGTGCAATGGACAGAGAAAGTAGAGGCAAAACAAAGGGAACCAAATACCTTTAAGGTGGCATAATTAGGTGGACGATTGTGTAGAATTTCAAAGGGAGATTTGTGCTTAATAAGAGGAGAAAGAAGCCTGTTTATGAGATGCACAACATGTAAAATGGCATAATTCCAAAACATTTTAGGGAGGTTGGATTGAAATAATAGTGATCGAGCTACATTTAATATGTGTTGATGTTTACGCTCCACCACACCATTTTGTTGTGGTGTTTCGACTCAAGATGTTTGGTGTATTGTTCCCTTAGAGGCATAAAAATTGGGAAGATTAAACTCAAGACCATTGTCACTACGAAGAATTTTAATTTTAGTAGAGAATTGAGTTTCAATGAGTGTAAAAAAAGACTGTATAATAGGTCTCACTTCAGACTTGTGTTTGAATAGAAAAATCCATGTATATCTTGAATGATCATCAACAATTGTTAGAAAATATCTATGACCATGAATAGAGGGTGTAGAGAAAGGCCTCCAAATATCAGCATGTACAATATCAAAACATTTATTGGATTTTGTAACACTTACAGGAAAAGGCAAATGTTTTTGTTTGGCTAAATGACATATAGTACAGGTTGAGTTATCAAAAAACTTAAGATCAGAAATGTATGGTGCAAGGAGTTTGAGCCTGGATTCAGAAAGGTGACCAAGCCTATAGTGCCAGAGATCCAAGTCTGCATTGTTGGTAGTAGAGGCTAAAATTTGTGAAGAAGGAAAAGTGACGTGGACTATTGATTTTCTCATTAAGTAAAGACCATTCTCCACCTTAGCTGAACCAATCATCTTCCATGAATTCAGGTCCTGTATAATGCAACATGAATCTTTAAAAATCAGGCAACATGGAAGAAGTGAAGTAAGTTTGGTCATAGAGATTAGATTAAAAGAAAATTCAGGAATAAAGAGAACATCTGTGAGAACTAAAGTTTCAGTAAGATGGATAGTGCCTGAGTATTGTGTTTTGACTTTGGTGCCATTTGGTAAAGTAACAAAGATGGGTTTGATTTTTTTATAAGATGTAAAAAATGATAAAGAGTGAGTTATGTGATCGGTGGCTCCTGTGTCCACAACCCATAGTTGTGAATTTGATGAACAATGCAAAGAAAAATGGTTACCCGTTGAAGAAGAAAAATTAGGAGCAAGAGCAGGTTGAGCAGTTACTTGGTTGGTAATGTGCAACGGCTTATCAGTACCAGAAGGCTGAATTAAGGCAAGGAACTGTTGACATTGCTTTTGAGTAAAAGAAATACCAGGTTCAAGAATCCCTTTCTGCATGGCAGTATTTTGATGAGATTCATCAGCTCCTTCAGTATCTTCTCCAGAAATGATATTATGAGCAGTAGAGTTTTGATTTCTTGGCTTATACCTAGGTGGATAACCATGCTTTTTATAACATGTCTCAATTGTATGTCTTGGTTTGCCACAAAATGTACAAAATCTATTATCCCCATTATGCTGTGATTGGTTTGATTTTTTTATTCGTTGCTTAGAGGAATTCTACACTTCTTCTCGTATGCTCTTACTTACAAACACTTTGGATGCACCTGAAACCATTTGTCTCTCTTGCTGTACAACCAGAGAAAATACCTTGTTTATGGAAGGAAGTGGTTCCATGAGCATAATTTGGGATCTGACTGTGGTAAATTGATCACCTAAACCCTTGAGAAATCTGATCACATAATCATTGTTTTGATAAGTCTTGACCTTAGTTAAAGCACCACAAGAACAAGGATTTGTGCAAGAACAGCAAGGAATTGGCCTAAGATTCAGTAACTCATCCTAGAGGATTTTAAGCTTAGTGAAATAATCTGTCACATTTCGATCTTCTTGTTTGAAAGTATAGATTTCTTCTTGGAGATCTGAAATTCTGAAAATGTCTCCCTGTGAAAACCTTTCCCGAAGATCTTCCCAAACTTCATATGCTTTATCAATCCAAAACACACTACTAGTTATTGAAGGTGAAAGAGAATGATTAAGCCAAGAAATTACCATTGTATTACATCTTTCCCAAGCTGAAAAAGTTGAATCAGTAGTCAAAGGTGCTCGAACAGATCCATCTACAAATTTCAGTTTGTTTTTGGAAAGTAAAGCCATTTTCATGGCACGTGCCTAAGAATGATAGTTGGTGTCATTGAGAACAGGTGTAACCAAGACAACTGTAGGATTTTCATTTGGATGAAGATAAGAATGGCTTGACGGATTCTGTGTAGGATCTGAATTCGCTATTAGAGTCACCATTGAAAATCACAGTAGAACAAAGAATAGGAAAACAAAGGAGCAGAAGCGCTATGATACCATGAAGAAAAACAAATCTGGATAAATTCTTTTTATTGAACTTATAAAGAAAAAAAGAGAAGCTTCCAGTTTATATACTGGTCCAATTCATCAGCTTTACAAACGTCAACTAACTAACTAACTAACAACAGATTGTAACTAATTAAATAANGATGGAGCATCAAGAGAGGCTCTATAAAATGGACCTAAACCCCACATATAAATACAGCTAGGTCTCATAATGAGGCAACCTGTCTGCCCTTGATCATGATCCTCTCGGTAATATATAGATTGGCGTAGACAATCTTCACAATCACTTGGAGAAATATCTGGAGTACACTGCAGTAATGCATATATCTTCATAAAGTATGAAAAATTTTCGTTTCCAGTTGCAAACTTACGCCTAGGGTGATTGGACCCAGTAGAAGCATTTATCACCAAGCCCTCCATCAAACTCACCCAAGTCTCGTTAAACTGCGCTGTATCTGTTGTATTAATGTTGTTCCCTTCACAACCGCCAGCCATAGGATCCGCCTCCATTATTCCAAAAATAGAACGGTTTGAATAGCGTACAATGCTCTGGGATGTCCCTCCCCATGCCACTGCTTCTTTCTGGTTCAAACACTGCCTCATAATATCTTTGGCTGAAGAACTGACACAATCAGCACACTCTTCTAACAAAGAGTCCCCTCTACAAAGAGCAAGAGCATAAACTTTGTCAGGCTCTTGGCCAATAGTTGCAGTATAAAAAAAACCATCACGTAGAGTTACATTAGAAGCAAGAGATGAGAGGATCATGTTCCTGTTCTTCTCATAGGTGCTATTTGTTGTGAAATTCCATGATTCGTAACATATAGTTGCTCTAGTAACACCAATGTTTATCATCATAAAACAAACAAGACATATAAAACCCATCTGCATTTTCATTATAACTTTGGGGAAGATGAACCATAAGAGACAATTTATTGAAGGGATATACAAAATATTGGCCTAGAGCTATGTAGTATGTTGATCTGTTTTATGAGACTTCCTATCACAAGTGTGAATTCACTATGCATGTGGGTCAAGCTATGTACTATGTTTATCTGTGAATTCACGGACAATTTATGACACTTCCTATCACACATGTAGATTCATTATGCATGTGGGTCAAGCTATGTACTATGTTTATCTATTTCATAAGCATTTTGTGTTTTCTCATTTGACATAGTGGAAGTGGAGCATACTTCACCAAATCTTCTCGACGTAGTGAAGTCTTCTAGTAAAAAAAGTGATTTTGATAAAGATGAGAGCGCGAGGGAACAGGCAAAGGTAATAATGAAGTAGTTGGCAATGTCTTATATGATTTTCAAAAGGCTTGCTTTAATACAATGGAAAAGTATATTCCGAACGAGTGATGGTAAAGGTAATAACGAAAGTAGTTGGCAATGTCATGTATGCTTGACATTTGGGTATAACGGTGTGACTATAAATAATTAATATGTTTAATATATTTGGGCGAAAAGAATAAAAGAATTCTAAGAGAATCTTTTTATTGAATTGTACTTTCTTTTTAATATAATAATAATAATATTATTATGATTATTATTTAGATTATTATTTTAACCCCTTATGTTTAAGAATCTAGTTAAAACACCTCAGTCACAAAAAAATTAAAAGTTAACAAAATAACCTCAATCACCCAAGACGACTATTGATCACCACCAATAATTGTCGAAACGATACACAACCAGTAAGATATGGCCGACAATGTGCCGATCTAGCCTTTTACGGCTAGATAGTCGTAGATTTGGCTGAAAACAATCAGATCTATTCTGGTCATTTCTAGCCAGATTCAAATATCTAGTTTTTTCCGGCCATATCCATGGCCATTAACTACTAGAATAGATTTGGCTGTTTCTTGCTAGATCCATTGCCATCTAGCTGTTTCCGGCCATATCAGTGATCGTGCGTCAGCCAAATCTGATTGGTCATGCACCGTTCTACCAACTGTCGGCAATCGTTTGGGTTGCTGGGTGTTATGTAAATAGTTTTCATTATAAGGGGATTATTGGCCAACAAATTTATTACTTAGGGGTAAAATTATAATAAAATTAAGATTAATTTATGTAAAATGAGGGGTATTTATGTCCCAAAAAATAATTTATCAGTGTATAGAAGTAATTTCAATCAGTTGGTCTATTTGTTATTTGGTTGACATATGAGGGTATTTCTGTCCTAAATTTTTAATAATTAAGGGTAAAATGGGAGCAAAATTAGGATTACCCCTATAATAAAAAAAATAATACCTTTTAGTCGATATTTGAATTGCCCCCAAGTTTACCTACAATAACCATTATTAATATTTGAAGATTACCAGAATCTTTTTTTATTTTACAACCAAACATGATAATTCTCGAGTTAAAAGATATATTACTGGAGTAATCTTTTATGAACCCGAACCAAACCCACCCAATATAGTATTATGGTTTCTGAAATTAGCCCAATATTTATACATTGGCTTAGAGTTACTCATTTTCATGACTTCCAATTACAAATGTGAATGCATGGTGGTCGTGGCTACGTAATATGTTTAATTTTCAAGCATTTTTGTGTTTTTCAAATGGAACCCAATTCATGGAGCAAGCCTAATCTTCTATGAAAGGACTGAAGTCTTCTAATCAATCAACAAAGTGAGATTTTGACGATGATGATCAAAGTGACCTCATTCAATACTAAGAAAAACAAACTCAACATAGTTAAAAGTGAGTTCTATAGGAAAAATGTATCAGACTCAATTTTTCTTGGCTTGAGTTAAATATGAAATAGCAAAAGTGAAGGAAATTAACTCAAAAGAAGTGATAAATGAAACACCAGTGGAGCTAATTGATCCAACTTTAGGTAAGTCTTTTCAGCCAGTATGTGAACACCAGATGCATCTATATCGGCTTATTGTGTGTCAGGAAGATCCATTGGATTGACTTACACCTTTCACTAACAAGAGTTAATTCCTATGTGCACGAGTAGAGAGAAAAAAAAAAAAACACAATCTCTCGAACTCTTATCGACTTTCGCATGCATAAAGTCGAGAGTTCAAACCATATAATGACACAAAAATAGTTTACACTCATACTTGGCTAAGCTCCTATTGTTATTTAACTGCATTTACAGGTTTCAATATTCGAAGATACAACTTCAATCTTCAAACATTATCGAGGGTCAAGTTCAGTAATTGCAGCCTCATTCAACGAAAATTGAGAATAATTTTCACTGCAATCCAACATAGAAGATTCTGAATAATCCAGCTCCGAGCTAGATTGCATAAAAAATGTTGGTTTTGAGGGTATTGGGAGAGACTGAGAATAGCTTGTCAGCATAAGAACAACTGAAACCATTGTAGGTCTATCGGCTACATTTTCTTGAACACAAGACAACCCAGCTAGAACAACCCCTCAGACTGGATCTATCAGATTTAAAGCTGACGCTCTAGTCCAGTTTCTCCATGCCTGCAAAAATTTGACAATGATTTAATAGTCATTGATACTGAGTTTAATGACTTACAATGTTTCACTTACATAGGTTAGTAAATCTTGCGGTTCCTCTTCATTAGGAAAACAACTATTTTGTTGACCACTAATGATTTCCAAGACTAACACACTGAAGCTGAAAACGTCAGAATTAGTTGAGAAGTGTCCATGCTTTATATACTCTGGAGCCATATACCGGCTGAAAATGGCCATTAATGGCTTGGATTTGATTTAGCAAGGTCTATGTTATAATTCTTATATATACTTACAAGGTTCCAACAACTCTCCTTGTATTGGCTTGAGTTTGATCCATTTCGAACAATCTTGACATTCCAAAATTTGTGATTTTTAGAATCATATCGATATCTAGAAGATTATTGCTAGCTTTGAGGTCACAGTGAATGACCCGAAACCTTGAATCTTCATGAAGATAAAGCAATCCTCGTGCTATACCCCCAATGATTTTGTATTGTGGTTCCCAATCCAATGATGAGCGTTTTGTGGGATCTACAAATTAACAAAAGCCACAGGAAAGTAGACAGTTTCTAGTCAAGAACAAGGTACAAGGTTGTTAGAAACCAAAGCAAAAAAGCAGTGCAACCATACCAAATATGAAGCTGTCTAGACTTGAATTGGGCACCAACTCATAGATTAGAAGCCTTTCATTTCCTTTCATACAGAAACCTAGGAATCTAACAAGATTCCTATGACGAAGCTTTGCCACTAAAAGGACCTCCTTTTTTAATTCTAATTCTCCTTGCCCAGAATTTCTTGACAATCTCTTAACAGCCATATCCTGTCCATGAGGAAGCCTACTCTGAAATTGAATTTGAGAAAAATGATTGTAACAGCATTTACGTTATTCAGAACTTACAATTTAACCCATTTTAACTAACAACTGATATTCACTTTGGTTATGAATACTTGATATTAATACCTTGAAAACAACACCGAATCCCCCTTGACCCAGCTTACTATCAATCGAAAAGTTATTTGTTGCAGCTCTGATAGTGCTGAAGTCAAATTGCAAGGATTCCACGTTATCAATTTCACAAGAACCTTAAAAGATCAAAGTAAGAGATTAGAACTCAAAAAGAAAATTAGTTTCAGCTCATATAGCAGAGTAAATTGTGGCAGCAGACAGGGTATAATTACCGTCTGCCTCCTGCTCACTTCCAAGCCCCTGCTTTGTCTTCCTCCTTTGTAAAAAGACACAAGTGAAGGCAACAAGTGCAATAAAAATAACTACTTCCGAAGAAACAATCGTTATAACAATCCTAGATGTAAAACCTTTTTTCTCTGCATGCACAAACCAGAAAAATGTGTACATAGTCAACTCATGATGGCACCGAAATCTATTGGGGTAATACAAAACTAAAGAATTGAACATGATTGTAACAATGATGATTCTTTGCTAGGAAACAAAAAGAATTGTATTCAAACTATAGAAGATACAAAAAGATTGACAAGCTAGCCAAAAAAGTTGTTGTAGCTTCACTTATGGACCTGAGAGAGGTCATTCACTATGCAAAAAGCATTATAGCAGTGATTACAGTATTAATTTCCGACCTACAGAAGAATTTGATCAAGTAATCATGCATATGTCCTGCTATTTATTTGCACTAACTCACCCTATGATTAGATTAATAAACAACTTAAATGGGATAGGTGCATCATGTCTATATATATATATATATATTTAACAATATCAAAGTGAAAAGTTATGGTCACTTTGGATATCTAAAATGCTCAATAAAAAGAAAAAAAAATCTTGCGTGCATCAGCAGTACACGTGCCTCATGCAGGCTCCGACATTGGTCAGATGCATATGAATCTGACAATCCTAGAAGTGGCAAATGCAAATGCTTACCAATTTTACTTGTTGAGGTAGCTGGCGGCGGAGGTGGATGAGAGGCCATAGAGTAAAAAGGGTAAATTTCAAACCTGATATTGCAACTAGGCTTAGAAATTCTACCTCCTTCCTTCCCATTACAGTATTTACGAATCTCACTCAAACAAGCAGCCAAGCAAATGCAGCACTCAGATGAAACAATGTCAGGAGTGCATTGCACCAGCCCATATAACCTAGTAACAGTTGTGAAATTCACATCTTCAGCAGCGAAAAAGTTGCTAGATGACACAGCCTCATGAGCCAAACTGTTCATCAAATCAGCCAAAGTCCGATTAAACAGACTGGGATGTATAACGTTGTTCTGGTTCCCAAATAAACACGAGTATCCTCTTCCATATCAGAGAAAATAGACCTGTTTGAGTACCTTAACATGCACTCTTCATACCATATAATTGCTTCTTTCTGTTTAGGACAAAAGTTTTTGATTTTTTACTAATGACCGTGACACAAATTTGGCTAGATCAGGAGAGATGTCTCCTCTACAAAGAAAGAGGCCATAGGCTCTATCGGGGCCCTGCAGGCCCCCAGTGCTGGTGTTGTAAAATCCATTGCTAAGGGGGCATTTGAGATCAGAGAAGAGAGAGTTTCATTGAGGTTTGTTGAGAAGGCACTATTTGGAGTGAAAAAAGTGGTGTTTACGCACTGTGGTAGCAGTATGTGGTTTCCTGGGCTGTGACATTGGGAGAAATAATGAGCATAACAATGGCTGAAAGGATGAATTTTATCCAAAGAGAAGAAGCCATCATGCTTTCTAGTTCTAATACAATTTCAATGGCAAGTAAAGTAACAACATCACAAGGTTAACTTGACTCCCATGGTTAGCAATCCAGTTAGGCAAATGAGTTGCAAGAGAACTCATACAATCAAAAAGCAAAGAACGCCTTATGTATGTTCAACATGAAATGAAACACTGCAGAAGAAGATAGAAACTCCTTCCTCTCTCTAGCATTCTCTTTCATCTCACATAACTATTTCTTCCCCGAATAATTTCAACATGAAATGAAAATCTTCATCACACATGTTACAAAGCAGAATGATTATTAGCGAAATCTTGCCAAGCTCTTCGAGAAGAAAATGAGTACCGACTCTAGGTGCTTTCTTAATAATTTTTGGTTTGGGTTATCTCCCTCTTCTCCTATTCTAAAGTGAGAATAAGAAATTATAGCCATAGATTCGGATGCTTGAATAATATTTATCATTCCATACAACTGCTTTTTTGGCTTCAGAACTTTTACAATTAGCACACTTTTGAAGAATCTCCTCCAAGCACAAGAGTCTAAAAAAAAATCATGTAGAGTGACATTAGAAGCAAGAGATAAGAGGATCAGATTCCTGTTCTTCTCATAGGAGCTATTATTGTGAAATTCCCTGTGTCATAACATATAGTTAATTATAAACGCCTTTGTTTATTAGCACAAAGAAACCAAATAAAGCAAAGATTTAAAACCCTTTTCAGGGTTATGCATTTACATGAGCTTGGGGAAGATGAAGAAAGAGAACACAACTGTGAAAGGAAAAAGAAAAAGAGAGAAAGAGAAAGACAAGGAAGAGATGAAAATTATTGCAAATGAGGGATAAAAGTTGTTCACGCTTGATTTTGGACATCAACGACTCGTACGTGCAAAGTATTAAGAGAGTCTTAGAAATTATACGTGATAGATCCATGAGATTTGAATATAGAGCTAAGATTATATATATTATAGAAAACATAAATAATAGACTGATAAGAGAGGTTTTTATAGTGGTTCGGATGCTTAAAGCAAATCCTACATCCACTGTTATTTTATTGATCTCTGACTATTTCTATGATTTTGCCTATAAGACATACAAAGATGAAGAAATACAGTGTTTACAGAGAGAAAGAATTGAGCTCAAATTTACGCCTAACTCTCATATGTCCAGCCCCTTTTTTTGTGAAGAGAAGTTTCAATTTATACACCTTTGAGGTCAATGTAATGAGTGTTTTACAAGTTACCTTGACACATGAAAGACTCATGTCCATTCATCTCTTGAAATGAGACAGGATTGATATGAATATCTTTGAGAAGGTATGGGTTTGACATCTAATACAAAAAGACATTTATTAATCTGACATGCATAACAAAAGTCTAGACAAAACTAGACTGCGTCCCTATCATTTTCTTGTTTTCTTCAAATTTTCCTTACACAGCATCATTCTAAAATTGAATCTCAGTTTGCCAAGTGCACAGATTCTTCGTTGCAGATATAGTAGCATTTCTCTAACTAATCTTCCAAAAGTAATAAAGTATATACAGTAAATGCCCAAAGCCCATTACTGGAGAAAGCAAGTGCAGTCATTATCATCATATCACTAAAGCAAACAATTAACAAGACATGTCAACAAACTTATCACTTGGACATTTCAGTGGGTCTTCTCTTTGATTACACTTGATTCTGTATTAGCCAGCTTGCTTCCTATCACAAAGTGATTTTTATTGAAACAAGGACTTCAGCATTTAGTATTCAAAGACTCAGTTGTATCTCAGTTGATTTACTATTCATAACCTGTGCTGTTTAAATGCAGTGATGCTTCAAGTTTTAATATAAGATATCAAGTCTACATTTTCATTATCTCAAAACCTGCATGTTTTGTGGTATAAAATACCAAACTTGCAATGTTGAATGTAATATTTTTAACGACAGACTTATAATATAAAATGTCACAGTTGTAATTCAGTAAAAGCTTAAATTCAAATATAGCAAAGTTTCATAACCAACAAACAATCACTTGTTGAGCAACCAAAGAACCCTTTTCCCAGATTAATGTTCAGAATATAAACCTTACCTTCAAAGAACAAGTACTAGATTTACATTGAAGTAGCCAAACAATTTGCGACAAAAAAAAATTGCATGATAAGGAAGAGAGGCTCATATAAACAACAATGAAAGAATTCACTTCCATGCTTCCTGGGAATACTAACTTGCAAGAAAGAGTAACGCAGAAGAAAAAACTTCTGCAAAGACAAGGATTAGAGAAACAATTGATGAAAAGGACGGACCACACTGTGGACAACACTCAAAGATACCTTCAACAAACTTGTTAAAGTCAAGCCTGAAAACTGTGCCATTGGGCTGCTCCATCTAAATGAGCACTCCATTGAGGAGCCATACAATCCAGTTCCTGACCAACGATCATATTACTTGCTCTCTGTAGGACTTGAAAGCACGTCAGCAAGCATATTCTTTCTCTTCATCTTCAAAACTTTCTCAAAGCCACAGTCTGATCGTACTAACATGCAGTCCAGCCCGATTGTCAGTCCTAACTCCTTGACAAGTGCAAAACGTGGTCTGATTCTCTGTTCCAAACTGTAACTAAAATACTGAGGGAACTTAACCAGCTTAGATTTTGAATAACCCATGGTCAAAAAGAACTCCCATTTGGGTATCAAGCTCCCTGTCAAGCTAAGAGCATATAAATTACGCAATGTCGACACCATGGTCCCAATATCTTCCACACTGAACCCGCTTTCATTGAAAAATTTGGTCACTGGCTTGAGATTGCCCTCAATACGAAGCCAAAGACTCGCGGGAAATCTATGGACAACGATGGCAACATTAACCCCCAAACTTTTGAAGTACTTGGCTGTTGGCCGGAGATTGCCTTCCACACTGTAACTTACAGTTCTTGGATACCGAGTTAACACCTTACCGATGCTATCACCTGATAAGCCCAACTCAAGAAGGAAATTAACAACTGCCTGAACCTTCTGCCTGCTGAGACTGAGGAGTCCTGGGCTGCGCAATATAACTTTTGCCCACTGTTTCTTGTCCACACCCATATCTTCTAAGTATAACATCAGGGGTATTATTTTACCAGATATACTATGTCCACATAAATGAGGCCTTTGGACAAGAATTTTACGAATCTCTGATTTAGCTACCCCAAGATCAAGAAGAAACTCTACTAGAGGTTTGATTTTCCTCTCCGAACTGTAGTTGGCAAAACTAGGATATTTGCAAGTAGCTAACTTGATCTGCTCAAGATCCATGCCAAGCTCTAAGAGGTAGCTGTGTTGAGGGCATGGATCTGCTGCTCGACTTGGGGCGCTTACATGAGAGACTGCTTCTGGCTTCTTGGAGTTAAGGCTGGAATGGGATCGACAAACTGGCAAAGCTGGCTTTTGTTCGATAGGTGCGGTACGAAAGTTCTTCACTAAATCTTTTGTTCGATAGGTGCGGTACGAAAGTTCTTCACTAAATCTACCATAAAGTTTCCATGCTCTTCAAGGAGTGATTGAAGATAAGGATTAAGGGTGTCCCTAATCTCAAGAGCTGTGAGCTCTCTTCCTGCAATAACAAGTAAAACTGATTAGCATGGGAACAAAGACATCTAGATAAAAGTACCAAAAAAGAAAAACTACATGTTGCAACCAGATCTAAAAGATACCAAGATTTATGAGAAGAATGAAGCCTTGAGATAAGGTGGTCGATGAAATGATCTGATTTATTGACAGTTCGTGCAGCAACTGCTTTGCTCAGACCTTGCTGCATCAAGAACAAGGTTAACACAGACTTGGCTTCTTTTCTTTTAGCTGCTAATAGCGATGGAGGTTCTACCCTTGTGTTGAATGATTCATTTGCACGAGAATCGGCTGTTCTTACATCAAAACATCATCATGTTAATACCACAAAGGGGAAAGAAACATGTTAATATCCGTAATTTAGCTTTTGTAAGCAGGTCGAAATACTACTAGAAAAACCGATTCCTTGGCAAAAGAACACTTCCTCAGGAGAAGTAAGTCGAGTCCTGCAAAAGAACAAAATAAAATCATCAATGCTCTATCGCTTATAGATACAGAACAGAAAATAAAGTCTATACAAGAAAAAAAGTATACGAGATTTCGATATTCTGTTTGACTAATCTTCTAAAATGAAACTCAAAATTGTGATAAGAAGAAATCACAAATTCACCACACACTCACAACATATAACATCGTAAATGCTTTTTCTCCTTAACTATCCACTTCAAATCTCCTAAAATTTAACAATACGCCTTCATAGCAATAGTATGAAAATAAAAATTAATGCTTTTTGGATGCCAAAAAAAAAAATAATAATAATAATAATTAATTGAAAAAAAAATACCTATTGATGTAGAAAGCTCCTCTAAAGAGAGATGAAAAGTCAGAAGAGCAGCTTCCAGAAAGGATCTTCATTGCCATCTTCAAGAACCCAAACCGAAACATAAATGAAAATCTTGTTACAGCTCCAGAATTAAAACTTGCAAACAAAAAACACATAAAGAACTCATTTTGATCCCAGTAATCTCCATTAATACTAAACAAAAAACAAACCCACATAGATGATAGTGAGTTGCGAAGGAAAAATGAATCAAACCCAATTTTTCTTGGCTCAAACAAAACTCCAAGCTACTGCGCATACAAATTTATAAGTAAAATACCAAAAAATGAAAGGAAAATAAGAATGCAAATCTTACTTACACAGGAACAAGTTGATTAGCTACTGCGTTCTGTAGTTCCTCCGAGTAAGTAACGTCTCTCTCTCTCGCTCTCTTTTTTTTTTTATAATTTTATTTTATTTAAATTTTGTGTGTTTTGAAGAACAGCCACATTTTCGGGGGATATTATAAAATAACCCACCGCAAAAGGATTTGCTGTATATAACCCCAATTTTAGTGGATTGACAAAAATACCCTTTCTTAACTCAGTCTTCACCGCAAGAACGCTCGACAAACGACAATGTTTGATGATATGTCGATCACGACAAAATCAAACATATTTTAGATATATATATTTATCAAAATGTGTTGGTTAATTAGATATATAAAATACTTTGAGAAAGAGTTTTAAAAAAAAAAATAAAACAAAATGTTTTTGTAATTGTTCTAGGGAAAGAAAAATTGCATGATACACCTAATTATATAAACTATAAAGTATTATTTGTTTTAAAAAACCTGATGGTTACAATTGAGGGCACATTTATTCAGTTATAAACTAAATCTTAAGTTCATTCACAAGCAATATGAAATATGACAATGTTGATATGATTCCAAAGTCGCAAATTTTGGAATGGAAAATTTGATTTGGATGAATCAAACTCAAAGTAATAAAAAATTCGAATTATAACTTAACCCATCAATGTCAATTTTCAATACATATATAGCTCCCAAGTGTATACAACATATATATTACTCAACCAAGTTTGATGTTTTCAGCTTTAATATTTTATGCAATCGATTAATATTAAACGTACATTAGAAATTATTAAATATCCATATATATTTGAGGTTTTTAATAATATTTGGAAAAATGGAAGCAAATATGTGATCAGTCTAATGGATTGAATAATTTAGGAGAAACAAATTTTTGATAACTTTATGATAAATTTGATAAGTCTACAAACCTTAAACTAAATTCAATGATCTCTATGAAGGGTTTTAATACTATTGCTTGTGCTAACGAGGGTGGAGTTCAGTGATTGACACATCATTCACAGATGAAGGTACGGTTTTGCTTGAAGATTGAACGGACTATATACTCATTCCTAGCATACTCTGTTGTGTTGTGCTACGAACAAAGAATCCTGGTCGTTTCGGTAACGATAGTGTGATAGAGAAACTGTTAAGCATGAGCACTACTGTTGTTATCATAGGTCTATCTACTGGATCTTCTTGAACACACAATAATCCAATATGAATTAATCTCGCCACCTCATTTTGTGGAAAAGAATTGCCGAAAGTTTGATCCATCAACTCTAATGGCGTTCCATCCCTCCAAAGTCTCCAGGCCTATGACGAACATCATTCCGTTAATTCTCATAACAAATGCAGCTCCTATAGTATGCAAGATATATAATATTAAAATTGAGTTGGAGTTTACATAGCTCAAGAGGTACTCCCCATTATCTGACTGATAAAAACTATTGCTCTTTTTGCCACTTATGATCTCTAGTACTAAAACTCCGAAACTATACACATCAGACTTAACCGAAAATTGTCCTTGTAGTACGTACTCTAGAGACATATAACCACTAGAATCTAGCGCTATTAGTATTGTAATCTAATATCCAAACAGTTCATAAGAATAATGGGAAGGTTTGTTTCAGGGCCGACCCAAAGGGTAGGCAGGTGAGGCATCTGCCGAGGGCAACAGCCCACACACCCCCCCCCCCCCCCCCCCCCCCCCCCCCCCCCCCCCGGGGAAAAAAAAAACCCAAAAAGTGGCCCAAAATTATTTTAAGATTTTTTTAAATAGATTTATAGAAATACCATTGGACCTAAAAAAGTTTATAATTTTTTATCCAAACCGGTTCAAAGGGCCCCAAAAAAGCCAAAAAGGCCCAAATTAATTATAATTTTTTTCCATAAATTTACAAAAAAACCATGTTTCATATTTTCCATTCACACCCCTAAATTAACTAAACTAATAATTTAAATGTCTAAAATTTCAAAACACCCATTCAATCCCTAAAATGATGAAAACATTGCATCTCCACTCCTCTACACCGCCATAGTATCGTTGTCAGCATTAAAGTGATGATTTTGGTCAATTTTCTCACAAAAATCAATCGGATTCATCACTTAATCATTTCTGAAACGTTTTCCCAATCTTGACAACCCCCATGGCCGATTTTTGCTGATTTTCACAGCCCATTTTCATTCTTCACCGCATGCGACAACAATTTCTGGCACGTATCCGTTGTCGTTGACCTTCCCTGACACCACTATCTTCGTCCCCTCAGCCCCTTCCCCAAAACCCTTCACTTACCTGACCCCGGTAGCCCGCCGTCCACCTCTTGCCCTCACAACAAAGGTTATGTAATTTGGCTATATTATCAATTGAAAAAGATTTGGTTTCTAAACTTGAATATAAAAATTTAATTAGTAATTTTGCATCTCAAAAGGCAAGAAAAATAAATTTGAAACAATTTTTTAATATATGCTTATATTATTAAAAGGGCCCCAAAGTAACTCTTTTCTATGGTCACAAATGTTCTCGAGATCTTACTATGTGCCAACAATTCTACTTGTATGTACTTGACTTTGATCCACCCCACAAATCCTTGCCATGCCAAAATCTGCTATCTTTGGATTCATGTCCTTGTCGAACAGGACATTACTAACTTTGAGATCACGATGTATAATTCTATGCCTAGAATCTTCGTGAAGATACATAAGTCCTCGAGCAATCCCTCCTATTATTTTACATCACGTTGGCCAATCCAATTGTCCTTGTTTTTTAGGATCTGTACATGCATATATCCATCAAAATAATATATGACTTAAATTTTTAGGTGATACATTAAATTACTTATTTATGATCTAAATAAACAATCAAACCAAAAATGAAGTAGTCAAGGCTTTTGTTAGGCACAAATTCATAGACAAGTATTTTCTCCCCTTCTTCTGCACAAAACCCCAGTAACCTCACTAAATTTCTGTGTTGAAGCTTGGCAACCAATACAACTTCATTCCAAAATTCTTCTACACCTTGACATGAGCTTCTTGATAGCCTCTTAATAGTTACTTTCGGTCCGTTATGAAGTGTACCCTGAAGAGATATAATAAGATCATAATCATTATGAAGCGATACTAACTAGTTCAATGAGTCGAATCTTTTAGGATAAAATCTCGCTCATTCTAGTTTAAAGAAAAATAAAAAGGGAAATTTCCTTACCTTATACACACTACCAAATCCGCCTTCACCAATCTTGTTTCCATCAGAGAAATTGTTTGTGGCAGCTTCAATGGCATGCAAGTCTAATTGTAAAGACTCCACAACTGAAATTTCATCTCGAGCTGGAGTACATTGTATTTATTTAGTTTTAGTTGGAATAAGATAAAACAAAATTGCTTTTCAGTTGTGTTGTATATATATTACCATTTCCTTCTTTTACAATGTTGGACTTTCTTCTTTCTTTCTAACTTAGGAGACAATAACATGAAGTGGATAAAATTATTATGAAGACAAGTATTGTAGGAACTGTAATTGTAATAATTTTCTCTGAGGAGATCTTCCCATTTCCTGCATATATATAAAAGAATTTGTTCAATTAATCACTTACATGTCGTTTTATTTATTTGCAATCTTGACTTGACTCACAAAATATTGTGTTTACACTCCTATTCATAATTTTCTATTCCGAAAAGTATATCATTCGTCTATACAATAATGCCATGTAAATGTACAGTAATGTAGTATAAGTGAAATGTTAATATCACCAAGCCGGATACATTGCATATTTAAACTAAAATTTTGAAGTTTCAATATTTAAACTAGTAATAGAACAATTCTTGTATACATCCAATGTACATATACAGTAATGTAGATAAGTGTTGAAAAAATAGCCAATAACACATAATAAAGAAAACAGAAAAGTAAAGAGAACGCACAATTTACTTTATTTTGTTCTAATTAAAGAATTATGTCTGACATTTAAATAGAGAACTTTTTGAGAATCAGAAATCTACAGCAAATGCAAAGTAGATTGACGGCAGTTCACTCTTATTCTCTATTCTTTTACACTCTTTAGGTTTCCCACTATTACAAAATGTATATAATAGAAAACCCTAACCCTATTTGGGCTTACTCGAGTCTAACTCGACTGAGGCTCAAATATTAGTAAATAAATTCTAAACCCAACGAGTCATTAAGTCCTCGAAAGAGTTACCATAAGTTGATAATTCGTGGCTAAAAGAAGTATAAACCAATATTCAATAGTCTGAACTTCTTCTGATTTCAAACCATACTGAGCGGTTCGTTAAAGATTAGATATTGTTTGAAGAAAGAAGAAAATGTTTCTTTTGTAACGTTCATATCAGGAAAGGATCTTCAAACATACCTTTTGGAATAATTAGTGGGGGAGAAGGAAGCGATATCGACGGTTGAGAAGGAAGAGCTGGTGATGTAGGAACACGAGTGGCGTTATAGAAAGGATTCAAACCCCAGATATACATACAGCTAGGTCTCATAATAAGGCAGCCAGGCTTCCCATGGTAGTGACTCTCATAGAAACCCACAGATTGACGAAGAAAATCCTCACAATCACTCTGTGAAATATCTGGAGTACACTGCATGAGTGCATAAATCTTCACAAAGCTTGTCACACTTTCCTCCCCAATTGCAAACTTACTTGTAGAATTATTAGCCCCAGCTGCAGCTTCCCTCAACAACCGGTTCGTCAAACTCTCCCAACTCTGATCAAACTGTGTCATGTTTACGGTCATATTATTCTCATAACTGCCTCCAGCCATAGGATCTGCAGCCAGTTTGCCCAAAAAAGAGTGGTTTGAATAGCGCACAATGCGTTGAGGACTCCCTCCCCATGCCACTACTTCTTTCTGGTTCAAACATGTCTTCACAATATTTTTAGCTGCAGAACTTACACAACTAGCACACTGTTCTGCAGAAGAGTCTCCTCTACAATTCACAAAAGCATAAACTTTGTCTGGCTCTTC